CGTTTCCTGTTTATGTTCTGTGCTTTTTTCGTCTGATTTGTTTTCTTGTGTTTAATATTTATTATTTAATTGAAATGAACGATTTTTTAATCAGACATGAAAAAATTTGTTTCTGATATACCCTACATAAGGGACAATCTTATTCTCAATATGTTTTTACAATACAGATATTGCAAACAAGTGAACATGATCCAAATTTGAATAATGCTTTGTATCCTTGCACACGAGGCGAAATGATACTCATATGTATGAAAATAGCGATGCGGTTCTGCCTTCCTTGGAACGCTATTGTTTGCATATTGCAAGCCATAAATACTATTTTTAAAAACAACCTTTTGTCAAATAGTAAATATAATTTGCTACAGTACTTCCCTATGCAGTCAGATAATTTTAAGTATCATGTGTATTGCTCAAACTGCAAAAAGTATATGGGTGAACGGTCACATATCGATCAATATTATTTGCAATTGTGGAATCCGCACTAAAATTTCAGAAACGAAATCATTTTTTTGGAATTAGACTTTAAAAATCAATTACAAAACTTATTACACAACCACACATAATGAAAGCTTTGGAGGAAGTACTTAATAGAAGTAGAAACGACGATGACATTATAAAAAATATATTTGATGGTAACATGTACAAAAAATGATCTCTCCTGATGGTTTACTTTAAATGGCAGATACAATCTGCCAATTTGTCGTATACTTTTAATATGGATGGCTGCACAACAGTCAAGTACCTCTTCAATTTGGCCAATTTATGTCATGATAAATTGCCAATTAACATACGTTTAAAAAACATGACTTGTAGGTTTATGAATTGACATCTGTAAACCTGATATGAATATATTTATGCAGTCATTCATAAATTAAGCGAACAAATTATCTTCGGAAGGAATCTCGTGGAACTTAAGAGATAATATCACTGTAACAATTTAGTAATTCCATTACTTTGCTCCGTTGACTCAGTGGCAAGATCAACAATATTAAATATGAAACAGTTCAATGGCAAATACGGACTTGCCCTTGCTGTGAACATCCGACAGAAGATGTTTCGGTGCAGACTAAAGGTACCAGCCGTATTTTACGGAAGTACACAGTCTCCACTAATATTCCACCTGACAGACGCATCCATAAGAAGAGACATGATCATAGCCTACAACGCTAAAGATGGAAAACATGTTAATGGAGTATGGGGACCTTCCTGTCTCATGAACTTACATTATTGATCTCGGAGATGGATTTGATCCCGAGTACATGCATTCTTGTCTTTTAGGCAATGTCCAACGGCAATATATGGATATTTTGTTAACTTCTGTCGGGAAAGATTATTATGTGGGATCGCCAGAAAAAATGAATATTATCAATTCGCGTTTAATTCAAACTCCAAAATGTATTACAAGAACACCTAAAAAATATTCAGCTGGAAAGCCTCTGAGTGGAGGTCATGGATGATCATGTATTCATTAGTTTGTTTGCATAGAGTATTATCGAAAAAATATGTATACCATCTGGTTCTATTTGTGTATTGGCATTAAATATCCTCTTGCAAAGATCAATTAACTCTCAACTATTAGAAAGAACACATGTTCACTTGTAAAGTTTGTCGTTCAATTTCAAAGCTACTTTGGGAAACAAGAAATGTCGTATAATGTGCACTTTCTTCTTCACCTATGTCGAAGTGTACACAACTCCTTTGTGAGCACAACATTTTTTTTGAAAATAGAGTATTTTTTAATCTACAAAGTCCTGCTCGCGTTGCTGTGCAAGTTGCATCCAGATTATTACAATAACTTATTGAAGCGTCTCTAATTTTGATAATTCATTAGCAATACAATTCGCCAATTTTGTAATAAAATATGTACAAGTAAATATCGAGTGCAAAACATTTATCGAAACGAGAATAGCGTCATGATACAGGAACACCATACACTTCACTTCCCGAAGAACAAGAATGCTTAGGACAGATACGAGTATAAGAATGTTTAGCATTTAAAAAAATGATATATGATGGCTTAGATATTCTATCGCAAATATGGACACTCAAAGAAAAAGAATGATTCTGTAGTCGAAAATATAAATGGGGAAATTAATATAATCACTAATATATGTAAAATACGCGATGATAATGGACCAGTTAAGGAATATATTATTTACTCGCAAAGTGATGCTTGAAAATGATGGACTAATTTCGATCACAAACATAAAAATTACTCATATTAAGAAATGTAATATAAACGGTAGTACTTTGTTTATGCAAACATCTGAAAATATAAAAAGCCCATGCGTAATTTTAAAATAACAGTAATAACAGTACTTTTGTTTGTACAATTCCATATGGATGTCTCGGTGATTAAATGTGAAATAATAAATATATATGTGACGTAAATAAACAGTATTGTTTTTTATTCATCGCATTATGCCTACGTATTATATGTATATCGTATATCGTAAAAAATACAAACAAATGATAAAATATTCCAGACAGCAAAATGCTAGAGCAGTACTTGCTAGCAATATGCCAGCGATCACTTCTTTTGCGACGTACTAATTTCCATTTCTTTAATATTATAAAAAAGATTCTTCCTTATTATCTAAGTGCTTATTGCTTCTGAATAGTAATCCGATAATGCTTATTATCTCAGAATTAATAGAAACAATTAACAATAAGGATCAATCAGTTGATCTCATGTGCACTTATGCGAATTTGTTAGAATTATTTGTAACTAGGTATGTAAGATCTTTTATTACTATTTGACAGAGATTAAAATGTTCATATTTTTGAAATCATTTTCATAGAAAGACATTGTGTGATATAAAACTTATTGAAAAAAAATCTCCGAAAAATTTTGTAAATTCAATATCCTTGAAAATAGTGATATCACTGAATTCTCGAGTTTCGGCGAAATTCAGAGACTTTTAGACACTTGGAGATGACTTTTGGAGAATTCTCTGATAATCCCTCAATTTCTTTGAAAAAGTCTCTGAATGTCACTAAAAATCTCTGAACATTTTTTTAACATTTTTTTATCATGGATGTTCTGAGGAATATTCGCGGTGGCCATGTGAGTCTCTAGCATTGTGGTGAGACATCGAGCGGGATGAGTCTCCTCCTTATGGGTGAGCGTAGAGTCGCTCGTTCGATTGCTGCCTGGGCGGCGCTACTGCTGTCCGGCTGCTGCGGAGCAGCGTCTCCATTGTCTGACTGCTGGATGGTTGTAGCACTTCGGCTGATAAGCATTTTCGAGGTGCTTTCCAGCTTAGTAGTCTTGGTTAAGCATGTGCTCGGGAGTGCAGTGAGTGTGTCTTCCCTCGTTCCGGCGAGTCATATATCTCTCGCCGAGCGGATCTTGAGCGCGAGTTTTCACTAGTCTCGCCAGTCCCCTGGGGTACTGAGCTGCAGTACTCGCGCTTCGTCGTGCGCGCATGTCGTGTATAACCGGTTGCTGTGGCTTATATGGCATAAGGAATCGTCACATTAAGATATCATAATGAAAAAACAATTTGATATCAAATTTTGGTAAAATATATGATTAACAAAATATTTTGGTCAATACAATCAAACACAACTTTATCTTTACAAATATTTAATGTAAATCCGGGATAAATCCATTTGATAATATTAAATATTGTATTTGTAAATATAAGATTGTGTTTGGTTATATTAACTAAAACATTTAGTTAATCATATTTTAATCAAGATTTTGTAGCTATTATGCAATCTTTTTGTTCAAGGTAGATTCTGAAAAAAAAAAAAATTTTAGAAATAAAACCAATAAATTGTATAGCAGGATATGTATGCTAAAAGTGTCTCTGTGGTAAAAAACAATGGTATTCCAGTTATCAAATAATATTCTTGGAAATTTTTATACATCATTATATAAAATGTAATTTCCAAAAATTCCTCGTTGTCAATTATAAACAGCTTACAAAATTAAATTACATTTGAATGCAGAAATTTCAAAAAATATTTTATTTTTAATTTTTTGTCATTGACGCTTATTTCAAAAAAATTTAAAATAACTTTAGATGAATAATATTGGAAAGATAGTCACAAAAAATATGAAGTCACTTGATAATTTCACTCAAACAGTGACAAATGTAAACTTCGTGAATTTTTAAAATATAAAATTTGCATTCTAACAATTTTCATAAAGTTTGTCGATGACTGAAACATTACATCTTTACAAAAAAGAGAAAAGTGAATCACTCTCATGGTATATGCATAGTGAATTCGGTTAGATTCACATTAAAGCCATTATACACAAATTGACATAAAGATGTGTTTAATATACATAGAAAAACCGAATTAAACCATGAAATCATGAATATACTTTATTGCGCTGTTTGATAAAATATATATTTTATAATTTGAAGCATTTCATTTTTACATTAAATCAGTATACAATGGTTTCAATATGCACCACTGTGCGTCCAACCAAATTCGCTATTAGTTCTTACATAAGAAAAATAATTAGAAAAAACAGGATAAGAAAGAAAGAAAACATTGTGGAAAAAAGAAAGTGAGAAACCAACAACGAACGCGAGAAACACAGTGCAATGACGACGCGAGAGCGGGCGATAAAACGAAAACAAGAGCGAATGAAAAGGAGGAGAGAGAAAAACGGGAGGTGAAGGGGTAAACGATGCGAACAAATCTAAGGATACTTCTCGTTTGTAGGAAGAGTATATGTTGTGTTTACGAATTCTTATTTAGTTCGCGCGTTTTCGACTATGATGATATGCGTTAAAGTATCAGCGCGCTTGCGCAAGAGCGAAAAGGTACAAGAAGGTGAGGATAGCGAGACAGTTGTAAGATGGCGAGACACGTGTATGGCACGACGAAGCGTTGAAGTGCGAATAGCGATTCTCTCCTGAATTGTCGACCAGCAATACTGGCTCACCGAACACTTCCATTACTTGGATCAATCTTATTTCCTACAAATTTGGAGGCTCGTCCGAGGATAAGAGCTGGTGAGAGACAAAAGGGCAGAAAAGATGAAAAGACGAAAAGACGAAAAGATGAAAAGACGAGAGAAAGAAAAAACAAAAGAAAAGACGAAAAGACTAAAGACGAAGAAGAGAAGGCGCAAGATGAAAGACGATAAGACGAGAGAAAGAAAAGACAAAGGAAAAGACGAAAAAAATGAAAAGACGCAAGACGAAAGACGACAAGACGGTAGAAAGAAAAGACAAAGGAAAAGACGAAGAAACGAAAAGACGAAAAGGCGCAAGACGGAGAAGACACGACGACAAGAAAGAGGAAAGAAGAAGGAAGACGACATTCAAATCTCGAAGGCGTTAAGAATCCGAAAGACATCGAGTGTGCAACTACAAGGTGGCGCAGCGACGTCAGAAATACATTGGCAAGACTATGAATGCGTCGGTAACGTCAACATCGAGAAGACAGTGACAATACGACGCGGGTGAGCGCGCGACAATAGCGCTGGTAACGACATCGAAAGTGTGGCGGTAGGATTGCACGACATAAACGAATGAGTCGGTAATCTTGAGTGTACGCAAACAAGATGGTGCAACAACAGTGAGAGCGCGACAGTAAACACTTGTCACATTGCATAAAATATGCAGAGGCAAGATGAATAATCTCGCGCAAATCGAACCAAAGGCAAAAATACGTACGGCGACGACCGTTGCCATGACGGCTTTACATAGATTTATTTTCGAAAAGGAAGGTGATCGAAAAAATAGACAAAGACTCAAAGACTTTGAGGGCTTTACTTTCAAGAAAGACATGACGGGATATGTGAATAAAATAGAAGCGGCGCGAAAACTTTCGATCGGTGACTTGATATCCTGCTGTAATATTCTTGGTTTAGAATATGGCGGAAACAAAGAAGAGATAATAACACGTATATTACACGGTTTAATGGATTTAGATACTCTCACACCTAAAGATAGTGAACATGACGGTGAATTAGACGAAGATACGAGTGACGAGAGAACAGCTGACGAGCAAGACGATGAAAGAGAGGAACAAAGAAGCAACAAAGAAAGTGAAAAGAACCTCGAAGAGAAACAGTCTACCAGAGGCAGTCAAGTGAATATGAAATTCGCAATGACGTACCGAGACGTGCAAGACTCAATTAAAACTTTCACTGGAAAAGATACATATCCGGTTGAAAGATGGATATCTGAATTCGAAAATGCGGCTAACCTGTTTGGATGGTCAGAATTACAGAAGCTAGTGTTCGCAAAGAAGTCACTAGCTGGACTGGCTAAAATGCTCATCGACAGCGAAGGCATTATCAAGAAATGGAAGAAATTAAAAGAACTACTTCTACGAGACGAATTTATAGACAAAATAAACAGTGCTCAAATACATGATATGCCGGTCAAAAGAAGACTGAAGAGAGACGAAACCGTACAGGAATATTATTATGTGATGAAAGAAATAGCTGCTAGAGGCAAAATAGAAGCAGAAGCACTCATGAAATACATGATTGATGGAATTCCGGAAGACGCACAGAGCAAGATCATATTGTACGGAGCTAAAAAATTGACAGAATTCAAAGAGAAGTTTAAAGTATACGAAGCAATTCGGAAGAAGAATACTGAGAGGATGAGAACGAGATAGAAGAACAGCATGCAGAAGAAGACAGAAGAAGCGAGGAAACCAACAACACCAAAAAATGGCGAAAAAGAACAAGAGACAGACGTGCGGTGCTACAATTGCGACAGTAAAGGACACAAAACTAAAGACTGCAAGAAGAAAGAATTAGGTAAAAAGTGTTTTAAGTGTCAAAAATACGGGCATACTGCAAAGTTGTGTAACGCGTCAGACGATAGTGAAGTGATAGCGGACAAAAAGACGGCGGTAATTAATACGGTTACTGATGCATCGAGCGATAGAATGTTTAAACGAATTACGATAAACGGTCTGCGGGTTAATGCGTTAATTGATATCGGCAGTCAAATCACGGTAATGCGCAAAGACATTTACGATAGAATGAAATTAGACAAGCTATGGGGAAATAGTATTTGTTTAACCGGTTTTGGAAAAAACGAAGTACATTCATTGGGTTGTGTAAATATAATTATAGAAGTAGGTGCTGATGAATATCCCTGTGTAGTGCCAAATAAAGTTACAAATTCAAGCATCATAATTGGTAGCGATTTTCTAGCGATGACGGAAATGACCATCAATAACGATGGAATAACTATACGAAGAGCAACGCCTGCTCAATTGTTAACACAGATCAACGTAATCGAAAAGAAACCGTTAGACGCGTGGTGACGCGACGGATCGGAAAGTACGCGAAGAAGTAGAGACTATTGTTAAAGAGTATCAAGTAAATAAGTATAAGACAACGGACGAGAGCATGCGTATCGTACCAAAAGACGGAAGGCCTATTTTTCAAAAACCGCGACGATTACCGGCACCCGAGCGCGAAATAATCGAAAACCAAATAGCGGAATGGCTAAACAACGGAGTCATTGAGAAGTGTACGTCGGAATACGCGAGTCCAATAGTCGTTGTAAGAAAGAAGGACGGATCATCGCATGTATGTATTGATTATAGGAAGTTAAATCGAGTCATAGAAAAGGACAGTCATCCCTTACCACTAATCGAAGATCTACTAGATAAATTAGAGGATGCTTGTGTGTTTAGTACGTTAGATCTGAAAAATGGATTTTTTCATGTATCCGTAAAAAAATAGAGTCGAAAATATACGGCGTTTGTCACCCCAAACGGGCAATACCAATTCCTGAAAGTCCCTTTTGGATTATATAATTCGCCGAGGGTTTTCCAAAGATACATTAATATTACTTTCTGGGATTTGATTAGACAAAATATAATGTTGCTTTATGTAAATGACTTGATCGTGCCGGCAGCAAACGAACAAGAAGCGTTGGAACGAATGCGAATCGTATTAAAGATAGCTAGCGACTACGGTTTACAAATTAATTTTAAGAAGTGTCAATTCGCGAAAAGAACAATCGAGTTTCTAGATTACGCAGTAGAAGGGGGCAAAATTTACCCTTCTCAAGAGAAAGTCAAAGCCGTGATAGATTACCCAGAGCAGAGAGAATTAAAAGATATTCAAAGCTTTCTTGGATTAACGGGTTACTTCAGAAAGTTTATACCTTCGTATTCTACGATCGCGAAACCGTTGAGCGACGTGTTGCGGAAGGATCAATCGTATAATTTTGACGATAAGGCTCGAAACGCGTTCATACAATTGAAGACGATTTTAATTCAGAATCCAGTACTGAAAATATATCATTCGCGACACGAAACGGAAGTACATACGGACGCAAGTATAGACGGTTATGGAGCTGTACTCCTACTTAGTGTTCAGACGAAGACAACTCATTACACCCAGTATACTTTATGAGCAAAAAGACTAAAAAAGAGGAAAGAACTTACACGAGTTATAAATTGGAGGCGCTTGCGATAGTAGAGGGACTTAGAAAATTCCGAGTGTATCTGTTAGGAATTCAATTCAAAATAATTACTGATTGTGCGGCTTTTCAGCGAACCATGAGCAAAAAAGAATTAAGTACACATATTGCGAGATGAGCTTTAGTGTTAGAGGATTATATATCATAGAGCGCAGACCGGGAACCCGTATGAAACACGATGCTTTGAGTCGACATCCGACGATAGTGAAAAGTCCAATTATCTCACAAATTAGGAGTCAACAAGCAAACGATGAAGAGATTCAAGCGTTAAAAAAAATTGTCAAAGACAAATCATATAAGAATTACCACATAAGCGGCGATTTATTATATAAATTTCAAGACGGTAGGGATTTACTTGTTATTCCTAGAACACTAGAATTAGACGTAATTCGAACGATTCACGAGAAAGGACATATGACGGCAAAACGTACTAAAGAGCGTATTCGGGAGGAGTATTTTATACGCGATTTAAGAAGTAAAGTAGAACAACACATTGCCAGTTGCGTGCAGTGTATATTGACGAATCGCAAAGAAGGTAAGCAGGAAGAATATCTACATCCCATTCTCAAGCCTGTGCCGTTACACACATATCATGTCGATCATTTAGGGCTGTTAGATACTACTAATAAAAACTACAATCATATTCTTGCTATTATTGATAGTTTTACTAAATTTATATGGTTGTATCTGACTAAATCTACTACAGCTCGCGAGGTCACAAATCGGTTAGACGTTCAAAAATATATTATTCGGGAGTCCGAAACAAATCGTGACGGATAGAGGCACAGTTTTTACCTCTCAAGAGTTCAAGGAGTATTGTCAGAGTGAAGGAATTTAAAACGTGACAATTACCACGGGATTGTCAAGGGCAAACGGACAAGTGGAACATTTGAATAGAGCGATCATATCGATACTTTCCAAGTTATCAATCGAAGAACCTGCTAAATGATACAAATATATAGATAAATTGCAACGTATATTAAACTCCACGTTCAATCATAGTGTAAATGCGACGCCTTTCGAATTTAGCGTAAAAATGCGCGACGAAACCGATCTGAAACTACGCGAAGTAATAGAACAAGAATTTCGATCGAAATTTGAGGAAGAACGTAACGAAATTAGAGCTAGAGCGAAAGAACAAATTCTAAAAGTGCAATCGGAGAATCGTAAGACATATAATTTCAGACATAAGAAGGCTACAGAATGTAGTCCACCAGGTGGGAGACCTAGTAGCAATCAAACGAATACAATTAGAACCAAGCCGAAAATTAGGAGCAAAATATTTAGGATCATATCGAAAATACATACGATGTGATTAAAAGCGGATCTCACGAAGGACCTTTAAGTACTTCTATTTACGCTGAATATGTTAAACCTTGGAATACAGTCAATTAAAAGTAACCAATTCCATTTTTGTAAGACGTAATGTTGAGTTAAAGTAATCAATTTTGTTTGTAAGACGTTAATTATAAGTCGGCAATATTATTTTTGTAAGATGATGTTAAGTTAACAGCTGGCGTCGTGCGGGACGCACGATTGTGCAGAATGGCCGAGTGTAGGAAGAGTATATGTTGTGTTTACGAATTCTTATTTAGTTTGCGCGATTCCGACTATGACGATATGCGCTAGAATATCAGCGCGCTTGCGCAAGAGCGAAAAGGTACAAGAAGGTGAGAATAGCGAGACAGTTGTAAGATGGCGAGACACGTGTGTGGCACGACGAAACGTTGAAGTGCGAATAGCGATTCTCTCCTGAATTGTCGACCAGCAATATTGGCTCACCGAACATTTCCATCACTTGGATCTTATTTCCTACATATGTTATGTCCTACAGACGCCACGATTCTTTTCTTCACGTCGCAACTATGGTTGGCGTCTGCGAGACTCTAGCGGAGCCTTCTGATAACGGTCAAAACTGAAAAGAGGGACCGGGTAAGCTCTACGAAAACTCGTAAACGCCAATCAACCCGGAAAAAACAACCTTAATGCTGGCCCGAAAAATGACA